CCAGATCTTACCGTTTAGAGTTCAGCTCTGACATAATTCCATAAATTCACTTGCGTTGGTCTTATGCAAATTTTACATTAATTAATTATATTACATGCACGAAAATATGAGACCATAAATTAGAAGTAGGCTACAGACATATTTTTCTTCTTACTCATAGATATCTAATGAGTAGAAGAATTAGCGCTGTGAGCAGTATTGCGAAATTTATAAAAAGCAACAAACAGAGCTCCCCGAATGTAGCCTTTATGGTGACCGTGAGAATATGGAGTTCTCTAAAGACATGGCGTGGAGCACAATGTACAGTAGTTCACACCAAACGGTAGGAAAAATGAGAGGTCATGACCCAAAACAGCTCCATATTTTACATTCTATCTCATTTTCGGTAATTTACCCGATATGTGGCCATAAAAACCACCCATCAGAACTTAGAGTGATCCATGTTTACATCTCAACTGACTCAGCAGAGTTGAACGATTTCATCTCTTGTTAAAACTGATAACAATTTCTGAAAAGGGATCAGCTTCTCTTATTTTCACGCAACTTTGGGCGGATATTTAATTTTGTACTTTAATAAATCTTTTGAATTTTTCTTGATATGAAATTAAAAAGCTGTGTAAGGAGAAGACATTTTATTTCATTATTTATGCAAGAGAATTTTTGATTGAAATTAGATTAAAGACCCTCAGAAACGATGCTGAGACTATGTGTGAAGATATGTATGAACCCTGTGGTTTTCACTAATTTGAATTTGTGTTTATAGTTCAAAAGAGCAACTCAGCCAAGACGATGTTTACTTATATTCTTAAACAGAATAACTTAATCCATCGCCCATGTATTGCTTGCTGACTGACCATCTGCGGCTTTCCACTTGTTTGTCCAATCTAACCAATAAAATGTAAATCAAACACTAAACAAATTAGTTTATAAATAACATTTTGTATTTTTTTAAGTTGGAGGGGGAAGGTGCATCGTTTAGTGTCACTTCCCGAATTTTAGAAAACCAATAGCTATCTGTGCCTCTCAACCATCCCGAATGCATGCAGTCAAATCTCGTTAGTGGACAAACTTCGAGAAATCCGAGGATTCCAGATATCCATGTTAAATTAAAAATACGAAGAAGAAGCGTGTTTGGGGCTCCAAAATAAACTTCGGAATACCCATGATATTCGAGATATCGGTGTTCGAGATATCGAAGTTAAACTGTATATGTCATATAGATATAGTATTGGAATAAAGTTTGATGGGCACATCAGGAAAAGGATTGTTTACATTCAACATATTTAAGCTCCCCCCAGCGTCCCTTATCAAAGAAAGATTTTAAAAACAATTTCTTTTAAATATTAACAAGTAAAATTAATAGACGATAATAAAACACTCTTTTCCCACAAAAATCTTGAAGGTAACATGTATATTTTCAATTATAAAATATGTTGCAGATATTACTACAGTAATACTACTTTTATTTTCTCTATCATCTTACTAAATTTAAGTATCAAAATGGAAATGTCGTGGTCTTATAATAAAAGGATTTTTGTTTTGAAGAAATGCATGTCATTTGGTTTAAAATTTTTATTTTAGTTGATTTTTTTTTCTTAATTAATTCTTAATTTAGTTGATTTTTTTTTCTTAATTAAAAGTAAATCTATACATATAACATTCAAAGATTGAATACCCCACTTGCAATATAATTTTCAAGTAAATAAGGAGAGGAAATACTGATTTTAACACTTTGAGAAAATTTACAAAATTTGCAACTGAAATGAACACTCAGTAGCAAGTACTTCAGAATGAATACCAAATATTCCGGAATCAAAAGGAAATTCTGAAATCTTCCACAGAAAACCTGACTATAATGTGTAGCCTACATTAGGGAGCAAAACGTATTGCCTTACATAGATGATCCAGGTCTTATGTCATTTAAAGAGAAATTTCTCTTCAAGGTCATCCTTTGAAATATTTGACACAATTTTCAGTTTTTTGAAACGAAAAACACTGACGCAGTTTCCCCGAATGCATAAATTATATTAATTTAGAAAAGAAAAGTAGAATAAACCAAAAAAAGAACATTCTCGAAACTGACTCAAAATTCTTTGGTGGTTGAAATTGACATCGTGTAAAAATTGTAAATGAAATTGCTTACTAAATATTTTTTAAACTCTTTTATTCAGAAAAAATTGTCTACACCCTAATTTACACGTAAAAGCTACTGAGCATGTCAAAAGTCAGTAATGTCTTCTATGATTCAAAGTCTTTTTTCTTTTAAAAACTTGATCAAAATATATATTTCAAGACTCCAGATACTTTCACATGTGCCGATATATTTTTAAAATATACACTTAAAATAATCCCAAACAGAAAAACAGCCCGAAGAGGTTACCTCTAATAATAAATAGTTATTATTGTGATTTGAACAAACAAAAGTCTGCATGTATTAACCAAATTGGAACCAATTTGTTGATAGTCAGTTTGACACTGGAAATAGCTCCAGGGATTTTACAGTTATCTATATTTTTTTCAAAGTCTCAAAATAAACCATTCATGCATTAATAAAATATCTTCATTTGACTGGGTACATGTAGTATTTTTTTTTTAAAACATCGTTCACTGCATTTGAACACAAGAAGCATTTTAAATGTGTAGATAATGCAGGAGAAAATGTGTCCACTTGTTGCAATGTTATTGAAAGTATGCAATGACCAAAGCTATCTTCTTTGAGGGGATTAATTAAATACTCAACATTCTACACAAAAATGTATACAATTGCCACACAAAAAAAGTTCATGTATTTTGCAACTAAATTTGTTGTTTTATGACAATTTTTTTGAACTGTCAGAAAACCTTTAACCTCAATTCGAACTTACGAACTTTTTTTAAAGTAATGGTTCTGAGAGACCTTGCGATTTTAGAAGAGAGTCATTGTGGATGTTGAACAACACAGATTCTTCAACATCAATGGTATAAGGGCATGTGCCCTATCTATCACTGGCGTAATAATTCTAGTTTTTCAATTCAAAGTGAAAAATAAAAAGAAAATTATTGTCAATTTATTTTATTTATTGGGCTCTTTTTCTGTTATTTTCGTCCTTTAAGGAGGCTGGTACATTCATACTCAGCGGCCTGTGAAGCTTATAGTAGCACGATAGCTTAACATTCATCAGGTAGCCCTAATCTTTATAGACTATAAAGTAGAAAAGGATGAATGTGAAATAACCTCATCACAAAGGGATGCAAAAGACGTGAAATAATCAATAGTTATCACAAAAAATATTTTTTGTTGTCTTGAATAATTTTCAAATATATGTACATTGTATTTACTTTTTTAAAAACTAATTCACAGCGTTCAAGACTAAAATATATGCTTATCACTTTATTGCTAAATATATATGACAAAAAATATTTTCATGAACAATAAAATATTAAAAGTTTCAGATCATTTCAAATTGAAAATGTTAAATGTATCAATTCATTACCTCAGAATGTCCTTGTAATCGTTAGTTTCTCCTATCTTCATTCCGCTTGAATCGAGTGCTGGTAGCTTGCTGTATTCATACGCCAAGGCGGACGCTTCACTGCTGATGGCAGTCTCCGCAGCCGTAAGAGGATGCCGGAAGTATCCATTGGGGTCATTAGGAGGACCATCATCATAAAGCGCTCTCCCGCCTAAGACTTTGGGAGAGAATTCAACAACTTCCCCGCTCTCGGATTGTGTGCTTTCGTTTTCCCTGTAGCATGAGAAAAAAGACGTTAATCGTTTAGCAAGACAAGATGGGCAAGACATGACGAAGTCCTCAAATGTCGATCTAGTACCAAGTAAATATTTTGCCAATATCTTCCAATGCAACACTCAAGTCTTCGTCAACTACTATCATGTCGTCCTGCTACATGAACTTTCTGCAATTTCTTGACTGTTAAATTGTATGGTAATGCTTCACTGTGTATCAACATCAGACTCGCCCATTTATATTTTTGTTGGGGCATATTTTTTTGTAAACACACATAAATGAAAGTTCCCATTTATTTCACATGAAATTGAAAATCACCCGGTGATAAAGCATAATGTTTAAATTTGCATATAGGCTTCAAATAAAAAGAGATATCTGGGCGATATCGGCCACGAAGATGAGCGTCAAAGCAAAGGGCAAAACTATTAGCAGACTACACCATATATTCTAAATCTTTTGATGTCGAAATTGTGTAATACAGCAATTTTTTCTTTAAAAAAATGTTTGAAAATATATTTTTACCTATCCATTAAAAATGATTCAAAGCACAAGGATTCAAACGCTAATGTATCAATGTCTTCCATTGGTAGTTCCAAGTTCAAAAGGGAGGTTGTTATGCATTTCATTTCGGGAAAAATTATCACATACAGCGCTATTCACCCAGAAAAATTCATTAAGAAAAACTTTTTCTTGAACACTATTGTGAAACTACCATCCATCGATAAACTGGTCGTCGAAGGAGATATTCAAGACTAAATACTTAGACACGCAGTGCAGAAGTTTTAAAAGGCATTTGCCGGAATGTATATTTAAATTTAGTAGGTGGGTGGGTGAGAAATAACATATTAGACAAGACAGAAAATACAGGGGCGTACTTTATATTTGACAAAAAGTTTCTCGTATATAAACGTAGTGAATATTTTAGATGTATTTGCCGATACGTTTGAGCGAACATCTTTGATTAATGTGCTCTTCTTCTCTGCAAATACTTGTCATTCAAATCAGCTTAACACCTCTCGTGTTTCCTAATTAGGATTTGCCGGAACTATCAAAAGGTAGATTCAAATGTGAATAAAATTTAAATCGCTATAAATCTGGCAAAAGGAAGCTCAAAATACGTTTACATAACACTTTAGGTGGGCAAAACATTGACGCACCTGGGGTTTTATCTACGACAAGCGGTCTGGTCATCTGTCAACGTACACCCATCTCTGTAATTGCCACTGAGCAGGGTTTAGTGGCAGCTACAAAGTTTACTAGCTGAACGACTGTGGTAAGTTAGTGAGGTATTTGCGGTGAAAGAGGTTCTTGCTACTGAGGAGTTGCAAAGTAAGCTACGCATGACATACAAAATGAAATTAACAAAAACAAATTAATCTTGATTACTTATATCAGAGGCAAGTGAAAAAGGATTTCTGAAGAATATTAAAACAGTACATGTATAAACGGTTTTAAAGTTCTTTTAGCCTCTGAAAGATCTTCAAGCCTATGATGAACAAATTGTAACATCCGGGCGAAAAGTTAAACTTTTATCAGTTTCCATTCTCAAAAAGCACAAGTTCAGACACTAATTACACTCAAATAACCAATCAGTGGTACAGAAGTTACCCTATATTTATTCAATTTCGGAGTGTATATGTGAAAGAAAAAATCTGATAACTACGTCGAACATCATGCTTATTTTTCTTCCCACTCTCATTACACCTTTGAATTACCCCTATAATACCCTAATCCCACCACGTGAACGTTAAAACTGACCATTAGAATTTAAATGTTCTAAAGTATCCTTTATTTCATATATTTTGTACTGGAAAAAGAAAACTAAGACAGGTATTGATGAAGTTAAGTAGCCAACAATTACCACTCCCCAATCACAGTGTAACTGTTACGTCATAATGACGAAAATAGGTCAAGGTAAGAACTTCCCGCTGCTTAAGATGACCAACCCAACTGAGTAAAAGTATTCAAAAACATCTACGAACGGATTAAACCATTTCTTATATTAGTGTAAAGTATTCCTGTCCAGTGAAGCGTGTCTTTACAAGCCCTATAATACTTGTTGAGCCAACAGAAAAGAACAAGTGCCCTTTCAGAGTTGAAGTGCATGTAATCCGCGTGCATTTTTTACTTAAGGATTCGTTGAGAACATTTTTGTGCTACTCCTTTGAAATATTTCTAAAGAGTCTAGTTTGCAATTTTTTAATAATGCTCCTCAGACACCGATTATCACTGCTTGCATACTGCAGGGTACATTTACATAGGATACTTCTACTCAACTCTTTTAGGATAGCTTTTGCAAAGAAGAAACAAAATCTGTATTCAATACAGAAAGAAAGCGAATTTTTTATTGTAAGATTTGCAAAGCACGTGTTTAATGAAATGCAAATTAAATTCACCATCTTAAGGTAGGCCACACTTCCTGTGATGTCAAAAGTTCGATGACGGACCATCATCAATGTGCACTTCCACATATTAAACTCTTCTTATGACCGAAAGATCAATAGAAAAGGCATTGATAAAATCCTCGTTTACCTTTCGATTGATTTCACGATGATTGCAAATAGATATCATACTTTCTCACTTTCCTTAGTCAATATATTTTCTGTTAAGCACGTTGATCAATCAGTATCTTGCAAATGGTTAGATGGACGTAAAGATCACGTGACCAGAAACCAAACAGAATTTAAGCCAATTCTTTTCCAGTATTAATTCTTATCTATTTCTACGAATGCAATTAGCAAAGTCATTATTTCTATTTTATTGGAATGGTTCTTACAGTATATAGTTTAGATATCACGCAAACCTTCCAATAATTCTCACGCAGTGTTGCGACGGAAATTTCGATCTCGAGATTTTAAAATGCGTCATCTATTTGGATTTTAGAAAACCTGCTATGTGTCTAAAATGCATGTTGTTAAAAATCATGAGAGGAAGTACATTTTTGCTCTTTTTCAGCTTTGGTACATTAAAAAAAAACAACAGTCCAACTTGTAGTTTCGTTTTCTCTTCTTTAGAATCGGAAAGATGACTTGCATTGCTCGCTTGACATGCGTGGAAACTTGCAGAAAAGTGAGGATTTCTTAAATTATCAGGTGTACTTTATTCTTTGTAAGAATTGTTCTTCATTCATAAAGGTTTTGATATGATTGTTTCAACGGATCATGTATTCTCAATAATTTTAGTATGCATTGAAATTAAGCGGCAACAAAAGAGGGACTCGGTCCACTACAGAAACTGACCACCTGTCAGTTACTACCAGGACCTCATCCTCTCATGGTCAATACACTCATACACCTGTATAGCCTTCTACAGGCTTTAGATAACAGTCGTCGGGCACCAGGAAAATGTCTAACCACCTAGGCCTACCAGAAGGTGTTTTAGTTGGCAATTCAATCCTCGAGAACCACAAATTATTTACAAATAAAACATTACAATTATCGCACTTCTAACTGGATGCTATGTAACTTCGCTTTCTTCCCACGGCAGATATAGAATAAGACCAATTTTCTTTACTTTAAGGGGACAATATAACTTCGTAATCTTGGTTCCCGGCGTTTATTGCAAATCGAGTTCAACTGTGTATAGAAAATCCTAGTTAATCATTCAAAGGCTGAACAATTTGACTATGAGATGATTTTTTTTACTTAATTCAACTTTTTACCTAAGAATATTTTGTTTATGTGGTCCTTTTGAAAAAATAGACGTAGCATTCATATTGACATCAGTGTTCCACGAAAACTTAATATTGATAGTGAAAGTTGATTAACCTAAGCAATCTAAAATGCAATATTATTTTAAATGTACACAAGTATGTGTCAATGTTTTCAGCTTACTAGCTCAGAAAGTTTAGAATCGCTACTACACCCTTGTATTAAAATTTTTATGTATGTCTTGAGTCCTTTACAGATTTTATAAAAAGCTTTGAGATGCAGATTTGCTCTTTAAAAAACGTTTCTACATGAAAGGATTCAAAATAAACTGCGATATGAATAGATTTTATCTTTCATTACATGCACAGATCCACTATAAATTTTGTGGCAAATAAATTCACAATTTCACATAAACAGAAAAGTGATGTTGACATTATAATGTGTCATTTGAATGAAAAAGAACTTAGACCACTTTCTGGTGCATCTGAGATTTGCATGCAAATTGTTTCCAAACCAGACAAGTAGACAGTATAGGACCTTCACGTTAAGGTTTAACCGTCACCATATTTCTTACTATGACACCAGTGCTACATTAACTATTATGTCGCTCTATAAAACTGTATAATTTGTATGATTTAAGTTCTCGGTTAACTTTAACATGCTTCATTGACAAATGAGCTTAAGATGTGCAATTAAAACACTTTTACCTATCATTAAGTACACTTCAATCGTATTTTATCACTAAGTTTATATTCTAGTATAATAATACCATTGCCTCTGGTTATAATTTTTTTAATCTTCTTTGTAAATTGATTTCAGAAAACACAATGCAAGACATGTTTTCTCTGATAATAATAAATTTGCTTCAATATGTAATGATTTCAGAAACAAGTATTCAGTCTTTTTTAGGCCAGTCCACTCCATCCTCCAGGTGGGAGGAATGAAGAAATTGAATACATGGTCAATGAGCGCCAGAAAGTCAAAAGATGTGATGACCCCTACAGAAAATATAGGTAAACTTACCCAAAAGCCATGCTACTAGAGTCCGCCAAGGTTCACAGAAATTGAAAAGTCCTTGTTAAAAAAGCTTAACGTACATCCTCCAAAAAGCTTATATTCCATTTGAACTACTCCATGGTAACGTTACCAGGTAAACATCTTCTGTTCACCTTCTTAAGACTTGTATAAGAATTTTCAACAATCGGTTAGAACAAACAAACTAGCGATTGTATCGCACAGAATAAACACTTAATGTATAGAAAATTTCCAATTACAGAAGTAAGGGTTAATGAGATGTCGCAGCCGGAGGGCCAAACTGATCGCACGGCGGTGCTTTCGAATAATACACTACTGCTGGGACGTCTTTATCATAACCAATTCCGGTGACCATCTATCGGGTGATCAAATGTGTCGTGCTGCTCTTTACTGCTTAACGCTTAGACTTACTCGCTTCATCGACTTTCACTCTTTCCAATAAACAAAATGAAATATTAAAGTTTGAGTTATACATTGCATGATTTGCATTTATTACTGCGCGCTTTCAGCTGTGACGAATATATTGTCTAACAGAAAACAAAATTGCGGTCAACAAATTTGCACATTAAAAAAAAAACGCTGACATGTATTTAGGAATATATTCTTTAAAATTTTACTTTAATAAAGAGTTTAGTCAAAGGGAAAGGACAATCAACTTTATTAATAAGACACTTCCCAGCAAATATGTAACCTCCCAAAAGCCAGTTTGATCGATAAACCTTTAAAAATGATTAATGTTTAGATCTTAAAAATTTTAATTTCGGTTTTTCTGTGAAACGCACTAAATTGAATCAAAATTTAGTTATTTTATTCGTCATCTCTTCTTTCCTCAGAAAAAGCAATGACTGTATTTGTGAAATAAAAACCGTTTTGTCATAAACTAAAAGACCTATACTGCAATTAAGCAAGTTCTCCAATATTTAACTTTGTTAGGATATGCATGTATTACTTCTGATAACCTGCATTTTAACATGCAAATGAGAAAAACAACTTTTTCTGACAATAGCTAAATCAAGAATTTAAGCTGTTGCAGTATAACAAGTCTTTCTTATGATAATGTTTTCTTTCCTCTGATATGACTAGGGCTAAATGTGTGATTTCTTAGGCATAGGCAGTAATTGGTTTGGGTGAAAGCTCTCGCTTACTTTTTAGCAAACAGGGTAGCAAACAGGGTGTACTTTACTAATCTTAAATGCAATTAAATACCCAGCACTGCAGATGAAACAAACAAGGATTAGCTTTGGAGGGTCTGGAAAGCAAAGTGTTATTGAAACCTAAATAAGCATCGGTCCTGCTGAGTTAAAATTGTTTACACCGGGTCAACAAAACGCTTTAGATGGGGTGTACCCCAATAGGACCAGTACCCCAGACTGCCATCAAAATGTTTGAACTGTACATCACACCCGATCCATCCCAAGGGTTTGGTAAATATCTACAGATTTTTCCATATAAAAGCCTAAATTTTTCAGTGTTTGTTCAATTCTGTTTGTAGAGTTGAAAGTTGTTTTGGATTAAAAGGACGATCTAGTCGATGAAACTTGAGGGGTTTCCAAATTTCATTTTCGATCTTGCTTGCTTTTTCTTGCAAAGAAAATGGTCACATAATTCCATGAATTCATGCCAGAGCCAGATACATTTAAGATATGTTTAGGTTCACTGAATAAAATACTTCATTTGCAGATGATACATTCACAAATAATTTTCACCTTGCTTTAATTAGAAGAGGTGGTAATAAATTTCTTCTTTTCATGTTATGGTGTAAAAAGTTTTAAATATTGAAATAAACAGCAACGAAACTTCATTTAGCTTGTGTGAAGCATACATAATTACCCTATAGCAACATAACTTTTGACAATTGTGATTTATTTCACTATGTTTGGCTGATTAAAAAAACGGGACATTTTTTTCACATATGTGAAACATGAAACAACATCAGATACCAATGTTTTATCTGTTTGGAAGACTGAGATTATATTAAGCGCTACAACACAAATAAAGAAATCTACATTCCCTATTTTACAAAACAACACCTGATTCAATACATTTCTTTTGATACGTTCTTTGTTTTCCAGACATTATACAGAAGAATAGCTGAAGTTGGGGTCTGATTAATATGGCGTTAAACCTTTGCTTGACTGCTTTAGTGTCAATATTCCGCCTATTGAAAAAGTCTTCCGCTCTATTTGACAGTTGTGGGAAAGCTAAATTCAAGGTGTTACATTGTAAGGTATGTAAAGACCGAATGTCCTCGATATAAATTAGAATTATTTCCATCGATTGGTTCTGTCACCATTCCTGACGGCAAAAAATCTCTACTTCCAATCGATAATTGCCATCAATTGAAAATAATATCGTCCTGTACACTGTTTTCAATTATTTATAGTTTCCATGACACCCTTTCTTGGACCAAGACGGATAGCGTGAAGTTTTCTTACCTACTGTCTTATCACGTGTATTAAGAATGTCATTCAGTTAAAAACATTGCTATTTGGATCGGTTTAATTATTCATGCTGACTTAATTACCACATTTACGTAAAATATATAGACTAAGAGTGTTTAGCTTTTGTGTACCTGGTGAATTTTTCTCAGTACATCATCTTGTAAATCATATCTATACCTATAATCACCTGTTTAGATTTGGTTGAAGATAAAAAAAAAGTTACATCTTGTATAATAACTCCATAACGTTGTCAAAACAAAATCGATTTTTCATCAATGTTATAAATTTCATTCACATATGAGCTGTACCAAGATATTTTACACAGCACAAAAATAATACTAAAATTTGCATATTAAAACTCCATTGACTGTGCATAAGAATCGTATTCCCTGCCAATAAATGGTATTATCCATTAGATTTAACTAGTACATGAACTGTCACGTTACATTGTGTCCGTTACCTACCCCGTGTGATTATTGTTCCATTCCTCCTTGGCTGAGCTATGATCGCTGCTCATTCTATATTCCAAAATCTTGACAAACTTGTCTTTCAAGTTCTGAGTTTAACCTTATTCACAAAACTATTTGAAACCAGTTTCACACAATCGGTCCATGTAGAGAAGACGTCGATCACTCACAGGAGTTAATGCGCTTCCAGAATGCCCATTCATGTGTTTCAAACTGATCGCTTTAGTAGGAAAGTTCGCATGAACAAAACGCTCCGCGCATGCTAAGGAACTCAGTGTCGGAAGCCTGTAGCGGGCCTGATTGTTTACTATAGAAAATTGTGAACCAACAAAGCCATGTTTGGATAAATTCTTTGAGTATGGGAAATGTCTTTTTAGTGTTATACAACCGGGTTTGTAATACAGCAGAGTTTTATTCAATGTATTGTGAAAAGATCGTTGAATACACCTTATGTCCCGGCGTGAGGGTTTAATATTTTTGGTTCGATGGTTTACAATAATGGCACAGTAGTAATAACTTTAAAATGCGAGGTCACAGACAGGGTTCAAAATTGTCAAAAAATTGTTCTCATCAAGAAAAGACCAAAATCCTTCGATGATGCAATGTGGACTACAAAACATGCTTTTCTTGATAAAGCGCGGGATTTTTTGTTAATATTTAAGAATAATATTAATGGAGATGAACGAGTATTCCACATAAAATATTTTCATTTTGACAGTCGAGGAAAGTTATCCAGTCACCCGAAAACTTGCTCTAATTATGTCTACAGTCGGTGAGCGAGTATTTGTTGTTAGTGTTCCGTAGCTGGGTGGCGCCTATTGCTAAATCTTACGTTGACTAACCATTGACTCACTTTGAAATAATAATAGTAAAATAATCCGAAGTAGTAACCATTCTGTTATGAAAATATAGGTCGTTTTGAGATTGATTTTCATGTTGTTTTGAATAATGATCTCTGAATTATTCAAAATACACGCAAAACAAATTTGCTCGAGCAGAAAAGACGAAAAAGCTGTACATAGCTTACATGTATAGTCGAGGTACTTAGAACGATGTATACTAAGTCTTGAATTAATAAATTCTCTTTCCTATTACCTCTTTAAGATAACATCGTGTTATTTTTGAATATACACGTTTAATAGAAGACCTGGGTCATCTGATCCGAGTTTGCCTTGTTTCCCGTCATCATGTGAGATTGGTGTTTCGTATCCCCTCGAGAGTTTTGACGGATATTCAGAACACCAACTGTCAACACAAACCGAACACGTTTATATTTATATGACGCAGAATTTGTTATAAAAACATTTATATGAGAAAAATGAACTTCTTGCTTGGCATTCAACTCGATATTAAGATATCTTGACGACTCTTATTGATATTAACAGTAGTTACTTTCATTTATACATGTATCTCAACCAATTATATCTTAGTAAGCTCAAAGTAAAAGAAACACCGCAGAATCTCATATCACTGTTTCATTTAGGAATTTTTTTTCATTGACTATAGACGAAAAAACCCAACCGTAAGACCAATGGGACATCTGCAGTTTTTTCATCTCCTTTATGTCAAGTAATATTGAAGTATAACCCTTATAAGGTGTTTGTATCTCCCAACTAATTCGGTATTCAAGAGCCTGCTCTGACAAAAAAGTTGCTGTTACATGGATTTCAACAACCTTGTCTACAGTCATCATTTCATAAATTTTATGGTCATTTAATAACCATCTTTGCAAAAACAACCTATTTTTGGGCTGTGTTTTGTCTGTAATGTGCTTGATATCAATTGTGAGATTTTTTTTTATTAAATCTAACTGATCCGTGCATATAACTCAGAGTGGGATTGACTGATCGACATAGGATGCTGACTTATCCTAGACCCTCATCCTACATTTGAATTTTCCCTGGTTCTTGATTTCGCCATGTTCACAGCTTTGAATCTTTCGGGATTTATGAGTTTGATCTTTGTTCGTTATTTTCTACTTTTACATAATATATGAAGGAGTAATTTAGTTATAATAATTACTATACCGACGAGGAAAAACAAAGTGAAATTGATATATAGATAAGTCTTTACAGTTAAAACTTTATGAAGTTCTGGTGCTTCTTTTCTAAAAATATAAATTTACAAACCAGTAGAGCTACAGCCTGGTGAGAGACTTCAATGTTTTTTATACGGATCATGAACAAAAAAAAAGGAAAATGTGTACACTAGTACATTAGTGTCTTCAAAAGCAATAACGAGAAAAGATCAATTATATAAAGTGAAATTGATTTTCAAAGACCTGTAGAAGTTCAGATCTATTTGTTCAATGAACGTATGGGTTAAACTACCGACCTTTATTCTATAATGCATGGATATTCATAAAAAAGTACACCAGACATTACAAAAGATTGGCGGTAACTCAAACAAAATGACTGCCATCACTGAGGAAAATTAGTTAAACAAATAAAAAAAAATTAAATAAAAAAAAAAAACTAGGTTGATTTGTATCAGCGACTGTTTACTTCTTCAGTTCATCTGAGTTGCTTTTCTTTGTCAAAAGGTTCCTTCAAACTTCACAAACATTGCCACCCGTGCGTTTTTACACCTTCAAAGTATGGTGAGATCTTATTAGCTAAACTAATGGACATACACTTGTACTACAAACTGCTGAGAGGAAAATGTCAACAGTAAACCTTTACTACATTCTCACAGAGTCTTTATATAATATTTAAAATCGGAACGCCAGAAACATCCCCTTGCAATCGACCCCATTTCAACTTTTTTCGAAGGTCATATTAAGTAGGACACGAGCTTTCATCTGAATACGACACAAAGATGTTCCTTGGATTATTTGAATAAGTGAACTGATACAAGAATAATGCTTTAACGTTTTATGTGTTGAAATCGTATTTGCTATTTCCAACGATTACATTCTACAAGTTGGGTAATGAGCCACATATTATATGCTTATGTGGACAAAACTAGGTTCTCAACGTTAAAAATGGAGAGAAAAAATCCCTCTACATTGCATCTTGATAAACTGTTTATAAAGTATTCGTGTCTAGATGTAGAATTATGCGATAAACTGTTTTTGTGACCATTATCCGTACATTATGTTCGAGTGAAAAGATTGTTTCACTATGATGACGAACTAAGGTGCGAAACATTTCAAGGCTGGACAAAAAATTACCACCATGAAAGCATTTTCTGTATTTGTTCACTCAAAGGTGTTTACAACTTTCAGATATAAATCATTGTGATGCAGAAAACAGTCATCTTTCATGGACCCTGCACCTAAGAAATGTGACTGTCGAATGCTTAATATATTTCACTCACCTTTTGTATTAAATAATTCGAGAGAATTAAGAGTAAACAGATTTCTATAAAGAATCAGGACATTAAATAAGGATACTCACTATTTGTAAATTTTAATATCACAGAGTACCCAACATAAGAGTTCAGATGGTGAGCAGTACAAAAAGCAATGGTGACCATTTTGACCATGGACCATACTTTTACAAATCACAAGGGATAGATATATTTAGTATTGGCTTCTTACTTAATTAAATGACTAAGTTACACACATTAACACGAATGTCAAGGATCATACGGTGGGTGTGACCAGTCGACAGGGATGCTTACTTCTTCATGGCACCTGAGCCCGCCTTTGATATTTTTAGAAGTGCATGTTTGCTTAACAAATTTGTCTTATTCCAATTAACTTTTGACTTTGATTACTGTTCGTTATCTTTTTATTTTATAGAAAATATTCATACCATAAATATAAAAAGTGGTTGACTCTACTATCCCCAGCAAAATGTCTACAAAATGCACTTCAGCGAAAACAAAATCCTTATAATGTCTAATTTTTTAATATAATTACTAGCCTTTTAATCGATTTCGTCTCCGTTTTTACTGTTGTCCCCATGCTCTCATGCAGTTTAATCTGCTTAATTATTAAGATAACGATCTAGGGAAAATCCCATTGTCTTCGACTCTGCTACCATTTTTAAAATTTCTAAGTCTTGTATAAATTTCTCTTAGTGTAATTAATCTAGATCAATTCATAATCGATTTCGTAAAAAATGCAAACCATGGCGGAAATTTGAAATTTTGATTGATTTTGATCGTTTGAAATAAATTCATATATATACATAGATGTGTATGTCATTGTTGAATATCTATTCCACACAATGACATATCAACCATATCAAAGGTAGTTAATACGTTTTATTTTAGGAGGTCGCTTGAATTTCGGTCAAAACCCTGCACCTGACTTGAATTGTACGACTTTTCAACACTTTGTACCACCATTCCCCAGGATGAATTAAAGTCCAGGCTTTTTGACAATATAGACAACTACTTTTTCCAAAAGATGGATCTTGTAAATATGCCAACCTTATCATTGGCCATTTGCAAAATTACTTTGTTAAAATATTTTGATTGTACGCACATTGATTACTCTGAAATTGATATTACTATGATGCTTGAGTTTCTGATTGATAAATGTATGGAATTTGAAGACAACACTCTCTTCAAATTCCCATTGATACCAGTTGAGTGGCCTTATTTTTAAATTTATGTGATGCAAACTTGTTCAAAAGACTTGAACATGAGGAAATACACTTGCTGTTGCCTTCAACTCGACACTAAGATATATATTGTAATAAAAGACACCACATAGTCTTAAACATTCGTTTTTTATATTTGGATATTTTACTAGAAAAAGACGTTAATGGTAACAACAAAACTCTATGATAA